AGGGCAGGGTAACAATCCAATCTCCTCTTCTTTTTCTCTTCTTTGGCAGCAGCTGCCTCCACAGAGCAAGGATCTTCACCGGGTCACTGCAATGACAGCCATTTTGTGACTGGCTCCGCCTCCTGCAGCAGGCTAAGAACATTACAGACATTATGCTGGATCAGACTAACAGCCCATCCAGTCCAAACACTGCCCCAGACATACGCACATAAGGGAAGCAATGTTAGATCAGGCCAACGGCCCTTCCAGTCCAACGCTCTGTGTCACACAGTGGCCAAAACCCAGGTGCCATCAGGAGGTCCACCAGTAGGGCCAGAACTCCAGAAGCACTCCCACTGTTGCCCCACAAGCATCAAGAAGACAGAGCACCACTGCCCGAGACATACGCACGTAAGGGAAGCCATGTTGGATTAGGCCAATGGCCCATCCAGTCCAACGCTCTGTGTCACACAGTGGCCAAAACCCAGGGGCCATCAGGAGGTCCACCAGTAGGGCCAGAACTCCAGTAGCCCTCCCACTCTTGCCCCACAAGCATCAAGAACACAGAGCACCACTGCCCCAGACATAAGAGAAGCCATGTTGGATCAGGCCAGTGGCCCATCTAGTCCAACACTCTGTGTCACACAGTGGCCAAAACCCAGGTGCCATCAGGAGGTCCTCCAGTGGGGCCAGAACTCCAGAAGCCCTTCCACTGTTGCCCCCCAAGCACCAAGAATATGGAACATCACTGCCCGTCTTTAAGATGCTGTATGCACATAACAGTTATCACAATATACTGGAAATTAACAACATTATTTACAGGGTTTTTAAATAGATTTTATACACCAACTTCCCTTTCACTGCACGGGGAAAACCTTAATTAGCTATTTCACATTTAAAAAAACATCCTTATTTTCTTAACTAAGAAAATGCATATGAAAATGTTTATAAAGTGCTGTGGAAAAGGCCGGGGTGCAAATTCTAAGAATACAAGAATGAATGTTGATTTCTTTAGCACAATTATCCCTTCCCCCCCCCCCCACTACAAAACATGAAACAACATGCAAGTTCTCCTATTTAAGCATGGTTCCTCCAACTGTATTCTGCCTTTACAGTCAAAATGAAGAAGAAGAAAAGAGATTGGATTTATACCCCGCCCTTCACTCGGAGTCTCAGAGGGGCTTACAAACTCCTTTCCCTTCCCCTCCCCACAACAGACACCAAGTGAGGTAGGTGGGGCTGAGAGAGCTCTTTCAAAAACTGCCCTTTCAAGGACAGCTCGTTAGAACTACGGCCTACCCAAGGTCATCCAGCAGCTGCGAGTGGAGGAGTGGGGGAATCCAACCCGGTTCTCCCAGATTAGAGTCCACACACTTAACCATTACACCAAACTGGCTCAAACCCATTCTGAAGAACATGGGATGCTACATAATACTACTTGCAGGAACAATAAGGAAATGCTGCCTCAGCCTTAAGAATAAGAAAGTGACCTGCTTGTCTAGAAAAAGAGCGCTATTACATTTTACAGCGTGCCTAACCAAACCCTGTGCGTTCCCAAGCAGCAGATAGGGGATTTCCGCTTGATTTCCCTTAAGTCTTGTTTGAAAGGTGTGATATTTATTCATAAATTTATTTATAAAATAAATTTATAGACCGCCCTCCCCTATACAAACAAGTTTAGGGCGGTGAACAACAATAAAACACATTCATAAATCAGTAAGACAGTTTGAAACAATGAGAGAATACGTAATTAAAAACATTGCCAGATGGCGCGAGAATACACTAAGCACCAAGAATACAGAGCATCACTGCCCCAGACATAAGACCATAAGAGAAGCCATTTTGGATCAGGCCAGTGGCCTATCCAGTCCAACACTCTGTGTCACAGAATGGCCACAACCCAGGTCCCATCAGGAGGTCCACCAGCGGGGCCAGAACTCCAGAAGCCCTCCCACTCTTGCCCCCCCAAGCACCAAGAATACAGAACATCACTGCCCCAGACATAAGAACATTCATTTGGAAGACTGTGTGCAGTTCTGGTCACCACACCTTAAAAAGGATATTATAGCTTTGGAAAAGGTGCAGAAAAGGGCAACTCGAATGATAATAGGGTTGAAACACTTTCCCTATGAGGAAAGGTTAAAGTGCTTAGGGCTCTTTAGCTTGGAGAAAAGACGACTGAGGGGTGACATGATTGAGGTTTACAAGATGGAAAAGAACAGTACAGAAAGAGGTACTTTTCTCCCTTTCTCACAATATAAAAACTCGTGGGCACTCCATGAAATTGCTGAGCGGTCGGGTTAGAACGGATAAAAGGAAGTCCTTCTTCACCCAAAGAGTGATTCACACATGGAATTCACTGCCACAGGAGGTGGTGGCGGCTACAAGCATGAACGGCTTCAAAAGGGAATTAGATAGGCATATGGAGCAGAGGTCCATCAGTGGCTATTAGCCACAAGGTATAGATAGCGGCTCTGGGGCAAGTGATGCTCTCTCTTCTTGGTGCTTGGGGGGCCCAACAGTGGGAGGGCTTCTAATGTCCTGGCCCCACTGCTGGACCTCCTGATGGCACCTGGTATTTTTGGCCACTGTGTGACAGAGTGTTGGACTAGATGGGTCTTTGGCCTGATCCAACATTGGTGTCTCTTATGTTCTTATAGGAGCTCTCAGTCTGGGGCAAGGGATGCTCTGTATTTTTGGCCATTGTGTGACAGAGTGTTGGACTGGATGGGCCATTGGCCTGATCCAACATTGGCATCTCTTATGTTCTTATAAGAGAAGCCATGTTGGATCAGGCCAGTGGCCCATCCAGTCCAAGTGTCACACAGTGGCCAAAACTCAGGCGCCATCAGGAGGTCCACCAGCGGGGCCAGAAATCCAGAAGCCTTCCCACTCTTGCCCCCCAAGCACCAAGAATACAGAGCATCACTGCCCCAGACATAAGAACATAAGAGAAGCCTCGTGGGGGGAGGCAGGAGGGGGGGGGGTTGAGTGCCAAGGTCATCCAGTGGAGGAGTGGGGAATGAAACATGGTTCTCCCAGATTAGAGTCCGTGCACTTAACCACTACACCAAATTGGCTCTATGGGAGAACGGGGTTTGATTCCTCACTCCTCCACAGGCAATTGCTGGTGCGACCTTGGGTCAGTCACAAGTTCTCTCATAAGCAGTCCTTGAGAGAGCTCTCTCAGCCCCCCCTACCTCACAGGCAGAGTTCCCTCTAAACTGGGTTAGTGTGAGCTACCTCACAGCTTTTTAGGCTCCGACTCACAGATTCTTGTCTTAGCTCAAAGGATGGCTCCAGAGCAAACTGATTTATGCAGTAGGTGAATCGCTGGCTCACAACTTTAATGCCAGTAGCTCACAAAGAAGAATTTCTGCTCACAGGACTCCACAGTTTAGAGGGTGCATTGCTCATAGGGTGTCTGTGGTGGGGAGGAGATTGTAAGCCGCTGAGAGACTCCTTTGGGTAGTGAAGGGTGGGGTATAAATCCAACCTCTTCTTCTCACATTGGAGAGGACAAAATAGGCGCAACTAATTCTCAACACAAACAATACTCTACAGCAGCAACCAGACCATTTCCCTTATCAAATTATGCAATCTGAGCCACGGCAGGCTGCAAGCAGATGCTCAAAAGCAACGCAAAGCTTCAGTTTGAGGCCTTCAGTGGGGATGAAGTTACAAGAAAGACATGTGGCTCAATGGTTATGCACCCCTTTGTCTGGAGAAGGCCCCAGTTTCAAGCTCCAGTTAAAAAGATTCAGATAGTAATTTATAAAGTATTGGAAACAGCGGAAATGGACAAATTAACTTTACAACTACAAGATAAAAAAGAAATCTTTGAGAAAACCTGGTCAAGATTATATAAATGGACTGAGGAATACCTTAAAAAATGTACAACATAATTATTAAGACTTAATCTTTATATATATATTATATGGTTAAATTGGTTTAGGTGCATAAAAGAATGATGCCATCTATGTAAAACTTAGTAGTTAAGTAGTTACAATGAGTACATGCTTCTTGTTTGTTGTGTGTTAGTTTCTTTGTATTTGTAGTTGTCTTTTTCTCTACTTTGCAGAAAACCAATAAAATATTTTAAGATTCAGACAGTAGATGAAAGTAACAGGAGACCTTCACAAGCAGTTTCATGAGGCGACTCTTTTAAGGATCAGCAGAAGTCTTAGACTGATTTCTTTAATCCATTTATACCCTGCATTTCTCTCTAGTAAGCACCCAAAAACAGACTCCACATCTTTCTCCTTTCCTCCATTTTATCCCCAAAACAACCCTGTGAGGTAGGGTTAGGTTGAGAGTGTGACTGGCCCAAGGTCACCCAGCAAGGTTCCATGGTAAAAACGGGGACTCTTAACTACTACGACCATGCTGACTCTCCAAAGCCTGCACCCCTTTTTGTGCTCTCCCCAATCCTGGGCTTCTGTATACAACTATTATCCCAGCCTGCAGCCACTAGGTCCTGCCTCGCTCATCCAGGCTAGCATCCTATGAACGTTTACCTGGAAGTAAGCCCCATTGAACTCAGCAGGATTTACTTGGGAGTCAACGATTGGGCAATTGCACTGCAAGATCTCCCCCATTCCCATGCATCCTCCTAAATGCCCATTGCGAGGCCGCCTCCTTCCTCCCCTCACTCCCGCACACCTGAAACGGCCCCAATTTCACAAAATGGGCAGCACCACGCGGTTGCCTCGCCAGCACCCGCACACGTGCTTCACTTCCTCCGAGCCACTTCCGCCCGTCAGGACGCACCAATCGCGGGGCGCGTAGCACCCAGCGCCGTCTCCCTAATGGCCGCGACGCTTCCGCCCCGCCTCTCCCCGGGACGCGCTTTCCAACTGGGCGGGGCGGGGCCGGCCCCTATTGGTCCAGCCCCTCCGCCTCCGGGGAGGGGGGGAAGCCCAGCGAGTGGCTGTCTGTCTTGAGGAGTGGGCGGGGCGGGGGAGGCTGCGCGCCCTCTGATTGGCCGGGGCGACCTGGCGGGGGGGGCGGGGGAGACGGAGCGAAGCCAGTAGTCGACCTAACTCTTTCCGATTCAGGCCGAGACTCGAGTGTGGCGCTGGGATCGTGCGGTGGTGCTCTCGGCTCGCTCGACATCCGGACAACTCCGCCGCCATTATGGTGAAGCTCGCCAAGGTGAGCCCCGCGGCCTAGCTGAGGGGGGAACGCGGGAAGGAATGGGGGGGAGCGGGCGTCGAGCAAGGGGCGCCCCTTTTTTTCCTGGGGAAGGTTCGAAAAGGCCGCTGAGGCGAGGCCCCCCCGAGCAGCCTGGCGCGAGCGCGGTTTCCAGGCTCCCCCGCCCGCGTCGTTCTGTGAGGGAAGGAGAGAGAAGGGAGGTGCGGTTTCAAGTTCCCCCCTCCTCTCCCTCGTATTATTTTTTTCCTTCTCCCCCCCTCATTCTCCCTCCTCTCTTGGCTGGTGAGGCGCGCGTCGCCTTTGGAACGTTTGGCCGTTTCAAGGCTCCCCCCCCTTTTTTTCCTCTCCCTTTGGAAGGGATTTCCAGTCGAGAGGGAAATGGGGGGGGGAGACCGAGCGAGCGCGCGGGCTCGGAAGAGTTTCTAGGCGCCCCTCGCGCGCCCCAGCGACCTGCTGGCGGGGAAAGGGAGGACGGAGCGCGCACGCGCGCGCCTCCCTTTCTTTTCACCCCCGTCTTGCGCGCGCGTTCTCCCTCCCCCCTCCTCTTTTTTCCCCCTCGCCACGTGACGCAGCCCGGGGAGTTCGCGAGCACGTGGGAGGGGAGTGAAAAGAAGGCCGCCCGCCATGGCCCTGCTCGCTGCTTTCCCGGCGGCGGCACATCCACCACCACGCGGGCCGGGCCTTGCGGAAGCCGGAGGGGCGCGCTCGGGGGATGGCGTCTCCCGCCGCGCGCGCTTGCGGTGGGGTGGCGGCGGGGAGGGGCCTGGCCCGGCCCTCCCACGTGGGCAGAGAGGCCTACCCTTCTGGCCCGCGTGCTGCGCGCGGCGATTCCGTGCCCCGAGGGAGCGAGTCCTGCGCAGGTAAGCTGGGAGCGCCTTGGTAACCCCCGGGCACCGCCTTCTTCGCCCGCCGCGCTTGGTTTCCCGCCCCCGGCTGCACGGCGAGGGTGCAGCGCACGTGGTGCTCTTCTTCCTTCCTCCCGTTTGCTCCACGAGGTGGGCCAGGCTGACTGGCTCCAAATCACAGAGGAGGCCGACGCAGTTTTGCCTTGCTTATATTGTATTATATTGCATTGTAGTGCATGCTAACTACCCTATAATATGCACTTTGGTACGCAGTAATACAGCACGCTCTAGTGTGTGTACTATAATATGGGGTCGTATAGCAAAGCAAAAAAAAAATCAATCCCCTAACTAACCTATAATATGCACTTTGATACGCAGTAATACAGTACTCTTTAGTGTGTGCACTATAATATGAGATCATATAGCAAAAAAATCCCCCTTTCACAATATAGCAATTATATATATATATAATTCCCCATTTCACAACGGTTCCAGTCCAATAGCACCACAGAGACCCAAGGATATAAGGTTAGATCCAGGCGGGGTAGCCGTGTTGGTCTGAAGCAGCGGAACAAAGTCTGAGTCCAGTGGCACTTTTAAGCAGCGTTCCCATTAAGCTGCGACAGGGTGAGCCAGCTCGCAGTTTTGTAGACTCTGGCTCACACATTTTTGTCTTCGTTCAGGATGGATGGCTCCAGAGCAAACCATGCAGCAGCCAAATCGCTTGCCTGCAACTTTAATGCCAGTAGTTCACAAAGCAGAATTTTTGCTCACAAGACTCCACAGCTTGTTCTGCTCCAGACCAACATGGTTACCCTCCTGAAACTAAATTTAGGGTTAGCTGTGGTTCTTTTCCTTTTCCGTTAAAGCTACAGTTAGTACTTCAGAACAATGAAGATAACTGGAGAAGCATAAAATCCGGGTGTTTTTTTTTTTAAAGCTTGCTTTCCAGTAAATTACGGGGATGAAGGCATGGGCAACATATGCTTGGTTTTATTCCTGCTTTAAACTTTACTTTCCCCCCAGCCATGTGCAGGGCAGCTGCAGGCCTTCAGTCAAAGGAACCATTGTGGTCGGAGTGTTGAACTAGGATTGGTGGGGGGGATCAAATCCCTGTCTGGTCTTGCAGTGATTTTGCACCAGTCACCTTTGCTGAACACAGCCTACCTCGCAGGATTGCTGTGAGGGAAAAATACGGAAAAGAGCAACCTGCACACACGACTCCAAATGCCTTGGAGGCAGGGTGGCATACAACCTGAGTGTGGTGTAGAACACTAGAGTTTTGGAGGCCCAGTGTTCAAATCCCCGCTCACCATGAAAGCTCAGGAGGAGAGAATGACGCAGGTTGCTTTGGGCCCCCATTGACGACAAAGGCATGGTGAAATTAAACATTTAAGAGGGATTGGTGGACAAACAAATGGCTAGGGTTGTGCTGTGGGCTTCTGAGAGGAAATAAAGATGCTATTAACCCCGCTGTAATTACTTTCTGTACTGCTGTATCCTAAAGGTGGGCAAATGTTTCTGTGCTCAGAGTCGTGAGATCATATTGCTTACCCCCTGTGCACTGCACTTAACCACGTACATTCTTAATTGCAGTATCTCCTGTGAAATGTTACCGTTCAGGTTGTCGGAGAGGTTGAATCCTCATTCTCACATTCTGTCTCTTTCAGAACGTTAAAACCCAGCCTAAACAGAAAAAAATGGCTCCCCCACCTCCGAAGGAAGTGGACGACAGCGAAGAAGAGGATTCTTCAGAGGAGGAGGAGGAAGAGAGCAGCGAGGAGGAGGCGGTGAGAATTTAGCACATGGCCACTCGCAGTTCAGCACATGGCTGCTCACACACTTTGGTGCCTTTTTCTGTCTCTCTGGGTACTTGTTTTTGCTCTCAGCAGTGTGGCTTCCATATAACGGGGGAAGCACGTCGGCATTTCTCCATTATGAAAAGTTATTTCTGGATAGGTCCCCGTGTTTGCTGAGGTGCTTCTGGGCATGCTTGCAGATCCCATCCCCCTCCAAACAAAAAGGTGAATGTGATGGGCATGATAAAGTGCATGATGGCCACATCATGGGTAGGTAACAGCGTTCCGTGCGCTTTGGTGTTTAGTTATGCTGGCCACATGACCACGGAAATGTCTTCGGACAGCGCTGGCTCTTCGGCTTGGAAACGGAGATGAGCACCATAACCCTAGAGTTGGATTAGACTGGCTTTCGAGGAAGGGAACCTTTACCTTTACAGCAGCCCCATCGCATATTATATATCGAGTCTCACTTGGGCAACTTTTCATGTACTTCATATGTAACTTAATAAAAATGGTAGCCAACCACCCAATAAATAATGCGCAATTTAGAAATACATAAAAACATTAAAGCAATTGGGAGATTAAAAATATTTAAAATCATATCATTATTTAATTCATTTCTATACCGCCCATCCCCAGAGGGCTCAGGACGGTGTACACCATGCGTAAAAACATACAATGTTTAATTAAAAAATTTAAATACTCAAATGAAAAGCAAAACGATACCAAAATTATGGAGGAGGGGCCAGGAACGGTTATTGGGGGTGTTCTAGTTGAAACTAAATTCTTCACCCGCTGGTGAAACACAGTGGGTGAAGGGAATCTCCCTGGGGGATGGAGTTGCAAAGTTATCTTGAAACTTCCTGTTCTAGAACATAACATAAAAGCCAGCGTGATATAGCGGTTAAAGTATCAGACCATGATCTGGGAAACCCCGGTTTGAATCCCCACTCGGCTGCGGAACTTTGCGGGGTAACCTTAGCCCAATCGCACATCCTCAGCCTGGTCTACTTCACAGGGTTCTTGTGAGGATAAAAACAGGAGAACAGCATAAGCCGCTTGGGGAGAAAAGTAGGGTTTAAATAGAACAGGTAAGATAATACATCAGGATTATTTGTCTACAAATCGAGTGTTGGCATTTAAATAATTTTCTAAATTCTCTGGTGCTATTCCCCCCACAGAAGGTGATGTTGACTTTTTCCAGTCAATGCTGTACATTGCTTAGCTGTTGTAATCAAGCTAAAAAAAATTCCAAGTCTGGTTGAGCCCTTCCAGGTAACAATACTAGTTCTGTAGTGATATACTAACCAACTGAGTTTGAGAACAGTTCCAAAACACACACAGACACAAAACCAGCTTTATTCAGATATCACGAGTCCAGAGAATTGTCATAAATTTTTGGCTTGTTTTTGTTCAAATCTATAGAAATCACATTTCAGTCCTCAGATATGTATATTCTTTCACATTGAAATGGTCACCTTTGATTAGATTATCTCAGAGGTGGACTACAAGATGTACTTTATATCCCTAAAATAAGGACAGCAAAGATGTAGGTTTAAAGATTGAGCCAGGTGGTCAGCTGTGTTGGTCTGAAGCCGTAGAACAAATTTAGAGTCCAGTGGCACCTTTAAGAGCAACAAAGGAGGCTCACCTTGAATAAACCTTTGTTGTTCTTAAAGGTGCCCCTGGACTCTTAATCTGTTAATGTAGATTTTAAGTTTGGTTCATCCCTCTTTGGCTTGGGAACAGAGGAGAGCATCACACCCCTAGAGTTGGATTCGACTAGCTTTCGAGCAAGGGAAACCTTTACCTTTTATCCCCACAGTGGGACAGTCTTGTTCAGGGCAACCCATTGGGATTCCCGACCGCTAGGATTTGTTGTCGGTGCTTTAAAGGCCACGCTGGCTCTCCAGATGTTGGCTTGCTAGTTCCAGTTTGGGAAATTCTGGAGATTTGGGGGTGGAGCCTGGAAATTTTTTTTTTGGGGGGGGGGACCTCATTAGGGTATAATGCCATAGAATCCACTCTCCAAAGCTGCCGTTTTATCCAGGGGAACCGTATCAAAATGACAAAAAGTAGTGAGACGGCAGCGATGTTCCTGTCCTGAGCATTCCCAGTGTGAGTTGTCATCTGTAGAGTGAACAGGGAAGTAGCTGTTAATGGTACGCGAAACAGTAAAATGAGCTGCTTGGCTGAACAGTTCAGTTTCTGGTTTGGCAAAAGAGAAGCATCCAAGAAGATGCAAAATGCGGCACAGGCAAAACTTTCACCCGCTGCTGCATAACCTCTTGGTGGGTTAACTTTAAATGTTTCTCTCTGCCTCCACGTTGGACTGTTGGGTAGGATGACTGACCGTTCGCTCTGCTCTTTGTGGCTCCCCCCAGATGATCCCGCTGAAGAAAGCAGTCCCTCCAGCAAAAGCCGCAAACAAAAAGGCCGCTACCCCGGCAAAGAAGGCAGCGACCCCAGCGAAGAAGGGAGTCGTAACCCCGGCTAAAAAGGTCGCTGTTACTCCAGCGAAGAAGACACCAATCCCTGGCAAAGGAGCAAAAAACGGGAAGAACGCGAAGAAAGAAGAGAGTGATGAGGAGGAAGAGGAGGTCGATGACGAGGAGGAGGAAGATAGCGAAGAGGAGGAAGGTGAGTCTGGTGTCAAAAGTACTTTTCTGAGTTCGTTGTCTTGCCTGTTCAACCCAAATAGAACGGCAGAGCGTTAAGTGTTATTTTAGCCATGATGTAAAAGTCCCAGAGTTTCTTTTGTCAGAGAGACAGGTTTGGGCGATGTGGGTTTTTCCATCGAGTAGCAATTGCTGTATAAGCAATTGGGACGTGCATGTTGTGTGACTGACCAACCATTCAGAAAAAGATTCGCAGGAGAAGGGGGAATATTAAGGCCTGTAATGGTTTTTTTGTGATTCACAATCATATCCCAAAATGTTTTGATATGGGGGGGCAATATAGGGGTTCCATTAATCACCGCAAACAATAAAGGTGAACGATAAATCGCTTGGTTACAGACGAGTCCGAGACAGAGCCTCCAGTGCCAGTGAAGAAGCCGGCAGCCCAGGCCGCAGCCAAGAAACCCGCAGCCCAGGCAGCGGCCAAGAAACCCACAGCCCAGGCCGCGGCCAAGAAACAGGATTCGGAAGACGAGGAAGATGACGAAGAGGATGAGGAAGACGAGGAAGAAGACGGTGAGTCAGTTTTTGTCGGGGCGGCTAGATTTGAGTCGGCGGTACCTTACAAAGGGGAGCTCTGACTTTTAAAAGCTCATACCCCTGAAATCTTGTTAGTCTCTAACAGTGCTCTCTCTAAGCTGAGTTAGTGTGAGCCAGTTCGCGGTTTTTTAGCCTCCGGCTCATGCATTTTCGTCTCAGCTCAGGAAGGACGGCTCCAGACCAGGCTAAGTTATGCAGCAGCCGAATTGCTCGCTCACAGCTTTAATGCCAGGAGCTCACAAAGTGGACTTTTTGCTCACAAGACTCCGCAGCTTAGAGGGAGTCTCTAAGGGGCTCCTGGGCCCAACTCCAGCTGCTCTGCTGCAGACCCACGTGGCTACCTCAACGAAACATTTGCTAGTCCACTGAAGAACCCTGGGGCGTGAAAAGAATGAGAGTCCAGTAGTGCCTTTGAAGACTAACAGAATTTGTGGCAGGGTAGAAGGGTAAAGCTGTGAGCGAGCCATTTTGGCTCCTGCATAAATCAGTTTGCTCTTTTGGAGCCCTCCTTCCTGGGCGAAGGCAAAAAAATGTGTGAGCCGGAGGCTAAAAAACTGAGCTAGCTCACACTCACTCAGCTTAGAGGGCACACTGGGCCCCAGCACAGATGATGAACTTCGGGACTTAATACTGATGCTGATCGTGATGTCTCGGATGCGTACTGATGTGCTGGGCCCAGGAATGCTCCCTGCTGTCGCTGCAGATCCCGTGTCTTCGCTGAATTTAGGGCACCACGGCGTCTGTTATCTGTGGTTAGAGTATCAGACCAGGATCTATGAGAGCCAGGTTCGACTCCCCTCTCTGCCATGGGAGCTTGCTGGGTGACCTTGGGCCAGTCACGCTCCCAGCAATGTTCCCTCTAAGCTGTGGAGTGTTGTGAGCAAAAATACCACTTTGTGAGCTACTGGCACTAAAGTTGTGAGCGAGCAATTGACTACTGCATGAATTCATTTGCCCTGAAGCCATTCTTAAGCTAAGACAAAAATGTGTGAGCTGGAGGCTAAAAAACTGTGAGCTAGCTCACACTAACTCAGCTTAGAGGGAACAGTGGCTCCCAGCCTAACCTACCCCACAGGGGTGTTGTTGTGAGGATTAAACTGGGGTTCCTCTGAGTAAGCCTGCTGCATTTAGCCGTGGTCAGCATCCTCTTGTCTAAGTAGAAGAAGAAGAGATTGGATTTATACCCCGCCCTTCACTCAGAGTCTCAGGGTGGCTTACAAACTCCATTCCCTTCCCCTCCCCACAACAGACACCCTGTGAGGCAAGCGGGGCCAAAAGAGCTCTCTCAAGAACTGTCCTTGAGAGAACAACTCTGAGATAACTTGTGACTGACCCAAGGTCATCCATCAGCTGCAAGTGGAGGAGTGGGGAATCAAACCTGGTTCTCCCAGATTAGAGTCCGCGCACTTAACCACTGCACCGGACACCATCACGCACTTCCTGGCTCCTGTTCTTAAGGGAGCAGGAGAAATTACAGTGACGGCAGCATGCATTCTGCAGCTGTGGTTGTGGGGTGTATCTAAATTGGCCGCCTTTTGGTTTCAGACTCCGAAGAGGAGGCCATGGATACCACCCCAGCCAAAGGGAAGAAAGCCGTTCTGGCAAAGGCCGCCCCGGTCAAAGCTCCCGCAGCTGAGTCTGAGGACGAGGAAGATGAAGAAGACGACGACGAGGAAGATGATGAAGAGGAGGAGGAAGAGGAAGGTGAGTTGAATGTCGTCATCTGCTTTGATCGTGTGACGAATTGGTCTAGTCCTTCAATCATCCCCTTTGTTGCTTTCCCTTTTTCTGGTCTCAAAAGCTGGAAATGATGATTTCTCGCTGAGCTGATGTGATAAGAATCACATATGAATTAACAACAAAGATAGTCAAGTCCTGATCCAGCTGTCTCTTTCGGCAAGTGCTCTCTGTCCTCCCCCTTCTGGGATTCTTCTGACAGCTGGATGTCTTCTGTTTTTTTTCCCCCCGTCCCATTCTTCCCCTCACCCCCCCATAGAGTCTGTACAAGAAACACCTGGAAAGCGGAAGAAGGAAATGGCCAAACAGAAAGGCACCCCAGATGCCAAGAAGAAGAAAACTGAAGGTGAGCGGCCAGTGAGATATCCCAAGGGGTCTTCCTCATAGTGACTAATTGTGCTTGAATTTGTGGTGTGGAGAACCGTCGATCGCACGTCCCTCCATGTCTCGTGGCGCTTTCCTATCTCCCTTGGAAGCACCTGTAGGTATCAAAGCCAGGGTCACTATTTTCTGCAGCTTCAGCATGTGTACTAGACCCTCCCTTTCCCTGTGGTTAGTTGTTTAGCTGATGGGGGTTATATTTCTTAAAAACCCTTATTATCAGGTTTTGTTGTACTTTTAAGGCCCTTATGTATCACTTTTGAGGCTTCTATTGGGGTTACTATATCTATATCCTTTGCTATACTTGGTTGTCTGCCGCATCAGGCTGTTGTTATTAACATGTATTAATGTGTTAAAATTTTAATAAATATTTCCAAAAAAAAAAAAAGTCTGACCCTCCCTTGGTGTGGTAAGATAACCTACTTTACCCTGAGTTGGTCTAACTTACTCCGCAGTCACTCACCGCAAACAAAAGGGAAAAAAACCTTCGTTGAAGAAGTTCCTTAGAGGTTTTTTAAAAATGGGTTCAGTGGAGTCTTAATGCACAGAAAAATAACAAAACTAGGTATCCGTCTACTCAACTCTTGCAGCAGCAACATTGGTTCTTACAGCGAAAACGTGGTGTTTCGGTGCATCCAAAGAGTATCTTCGATCAGCAAGGGTGTGGGGGTATAAGGGGATACGAAGGGGGTGTTCGCTTCCAACATATGCTATATTATGTAGAGACAGACAGCCATAACCTCCTGACCTTCCCCAGATAATCCAGAGGGCAGTCTCCAAGGCAGTTCATTAATTTATTGATATAGATTTATATATTTTGATTTATACGCAGGCTCAAGGCGGCATACAACAGTTTGGTGAAGTGGTTCAGTGCGCGGACTCTAATCTGGGAGAACCGGGTTTGATTCCCCCACTCCTCCACTTGCACCTGCTGATGTGAGCTTGGGCAAGCCCTAGTTCTGATAAGAGCTGTCCTTGAAAAAGAGCAGTTCCTGTCAGAGTTCTCTCAGCCCCACCCACCTCACAGGGTGTCTGTTGTGGGGAGGGGAAGGGAGAGGAGTTTGTAAGCCGCTCTGAGACTCCCAAGTGAAGGGCGGGGTATAAATCCAATCTCTTCTCCTCCTCTTATAATACAATAAAGCACAGATGCGGAAGCTCAATACTATAAAAGTTCACATAAACTATATATATAAATAAATGCAGGTGGCATTTGCTGTAAGATGATCCGATGTAGCTAGACCAGTATCCAAGTTGTTCTTAATGCCAGTAACGTGATGGTCAAAACAGTTCAGATTGTAATAGCTCAATCATCAGTGAGGGCTCCTAATCGAAGGCCTGGCGGAAGAGTTTCTGGACAGGAGCAAGCTCCCCCCCCCCAACCAGATTCACAGCTGAACTGTGTGAAGGAATTAACAAGCCTTGGAGACGACCTTGGCCAGTAAACTGTTAGTCTGTGGGTGGGTGGCTGACACCTGCAGAGCAGTTGAGAGTACAGTGAAGTGAGAGTTTAGCTGGAATGTTTTTTCTAAGACCGCATCTCTCTTACCGGCGCCTCTCAGGAAGCGCATGCTTTGATGTCTAGCGGCTGGGCTCGTTGGGGAACGGTGGTGGGGTTCGCGCCCTGCCCCAAGGTGTGCTTGTACGAGCCCTTTCTCGCGTGTTCCGTGCACATCCTAATGGGAAGAAAAGAAGTGCCGCTGTTAAGGCGATTTGCAGGGAGCGGCAATCCTGCTTCGTTTTTCTCATTGGTGGCCAGTGTGCTGGGTCTCCGGGGGGGGGGGGGGGCCCCAAGAAGGGGGTGTAAGAAGAAAAAAGCGCAGAGAGGCCTCAAGCCCGTCCATTCCACCACCACCACCCCTGCACACCGCAAGGATCGCCTGAGGCACCCCTGACAAATCATCCAATCTCTGTTCCAACGTTTCCAAGGATGGAGAACCCACGACATCCCTGGGCGACCGATTCTACCACTGCACTGCCCTTGTATATATATACACATATATATATGTTATTTATTTTGAATCCTACTGTCCGGCAGATGTTTCTTCACCCACAATTTAAGCCCATTATTATGAGCCGTGTCCTCCACTACCAACTGAAACAGTGCCCTGCCTTCCTCTAAATGACAGCTCTTCAGATAACTTCAGAAGAGTAATTCTATTCCCCTCCCTCTGTCTCCTCCGGGCTGTACGTCCCAGTTCCCGCTGCCTTTCTTTGAAAGGTTTACTCCCCAAACCCTTAATCATCCCCATGTTCTCTGCACCCTTTGTAAGGTGTCTTTGTCTTCCCTATTATTATAATTTATTACATTTGTAAATCACCCTATCCCAGCTTATGCCGTGTTGTGGGCCAATGTATGTGGGGGCATAATGCCATTAAAAACACAAAACGTTAAAGTTCTATGGACAATTTAATAAAGTTAAAGACCCAAATATTAAGTTTTCAGAACTGGACGCAGTACCCCTAATGGGGTCTGATCAGTGTACTGTACAGTGGTGCTCAGTGTTCCTTCTAAGCTGAGTTAGTGTGAGGTAGCTCAGTTTCTTAGCCTCCGGCTCACACATTTTTTTGTCTTCGCTCAGGATGGGTGGCTCCAGAGCAAGCGAAATTATGCGGCAGCCAAATGGCTCGCTCACAACTTCAATGCCAGTCGCTCACAAAGTAGAATTTCTGCTCACAAGATTCCACAGCTTAGAAGGGAGCATTGTTGATTTCACATTTCATGTTCTAGGCACTGCGATCCATACAGTATACAAGCTCACTCTGCATACATACTTCATTATGGGTGTCCTGCTACTCAAAGCCAAGCTACGGGGGGGTGTCTTGGCAGTTTTTGCCACACCATTCCAAAGAGGTTTTTTTGGGGGGGTCTTCCATGGGAGAAGATGGCTCGGGACCGTGTCTGCAGCAGTCTTAGCTGCCAGTATAAGTGCTTACTATGACCGTACCAAGGATTTGTTTCTCTGCAGACTGATGTATTGGGAACTCTTGCAGCTGGGCAGGGACTACGCTTTGGTCATTATTGACAGCGGTTAGTATAACTGTTTTTCGGTGCCCCTTTTAGAAACCGCCTTCTCCCTCTTCATGGGCAATCTGAACTCCAACAAGGACTTTGAAGAAATGAAGGCCGCCATCAGGGACTTCTTTGCCAAAAAGGACCTGCAAGTCCAAGAAATCAGGATTGGCAACTCAAAGTAAGAGTGTGACTGTATAAAACCTTATTTTGCTGGCTTGTCTTGAGTCTGCGAGATGGGCGCCTGTTAACCACTGACTTTGGTGTGGGTGTGTTGCTTGAAAGAGCAGGTCCAGACCGGGCTACTGGGGGGAGGGGGTACGGCTGAAGAAGAGGTTGGGTGAAGGCAGCTCAGTATTAGAGGACAGGTCCCCGGCCTTCTTGAGTCCCCGAGCCCCTTTAGAATTCTGACCCAGGACAGTGGACACAACCACAAAATGGCTGCTGCAGGGGGTGGAGCCCGGCCACAAAATGTCAGGGAGTGAGGAGTGTGTGTGTATAACTTCAGTAGTAACTCTTCAACATCTCATTAGAAGGTCTGCTTAGCGGGATGCCTTTTAATCTGCAATGGCCAATCCAGTGGAGCACCGGATCAGGTCCAAGGTTCTGGTTTTGGCGCTCAGGGACCTCCATACCTTCTGGACCTCCTCGCCCAGTATGCCCCTGGAAGAGTGTTACGCTCAGGGAATAGGAACCTCCTGGTGGTCCCCGGCCTGAGAGAAGTCTGGCTGTCCTCAACCATGGGCTAGAGCTTTTTTGGCCCTGGGCCCTGCCTGGTGGAACTCTGCCAGAAAATGTCCGTCCCCTGCAGGAGCTACTACCTTTCTTCAGGGCATGCAAGGCAGAGATGTTCCATGAGGCCTTTGGTTGAAGACAGCAACAGGGCACTTTTTGGCACTCTCGTCCCCCCTCCCTGGAGATGTACAATTTCCAGAGATTTTGAAGCTCGGGCGGAAAAAAACCCTGTGTTCTCTCCCCCCCCCTGGTTTTTTACCAGAAAAAACTGAAATTTTTGGGGAAATTGAAAAAAAATGCTACATTAACTCTTTTCTCTTTTCCATATTGAAAGTCATTTTTTTTAAGGAACATAAGATACGACTATGGACATTTTTACTTGGCATGAAATTATCACAACTTGCCTATTAAAAATATAGTGTATCCAAACAATTATTACAAACAAGAATACCCACCCACATGCAAAAACAAAACTGAAGCCTTTTTATTTTCTTCTGACAAGAAATGCATCTTGTTCTTGCATTGGAGAGTTCAGTTTGTGACCTAGGACTTTCTTGTCCTCAGTGGACAGAAATTAGATCAATCTGATACCATACGTATTTTTTAGAAAAGATTTGGAAAATATTTGAACACCTTGTCTTAAAATATTTTATTCATTGTGTTAAAATAAAACGTTCTGTAATCAATTTTTTTCCTTTTCTTTTTTTCAATTTTTCGGAAAAAAACAAAAAAGTATTCAGGGAAAAAATGGGGGGGGGGTGTTTTTTTCCCCGGGCCTTCACATCTCTACCCCTCCCCCAGGGAGACTGGGGGGCTGAAATTATCTCCGCCATCTTGTAATGTATATGTGCGCTGGTTGTATCTATTGTGGTTCATTGGTAGGCTTTAATTTAGATTTTAACTTGAGAATTCACAAGTTAGGATTATCCGCTTTCAGTCACGTCCTTTTCCCGCTTTCACGCATCTCAAATCCGCTACAGAGTCTAGTCAGGAAACTGTGTAGGTGCATCTAGTTCCGTATCAGAAATAATCCACGTTTCTGAACTGCAGGAAGTTCGGCTACGTGGACTTCTCCTCCGAAGCCGAGCTGGACAAAGCGTTGAAGTTGAACGGGAAGAAATTAATGGGCTTGGAAATGAAACTGGAAAAGGCCAAGAGTAAAGAGAGTCTGACTCAGAACAAGAAAGGTCAGTAGAGCTGTCTCGGCTGGCGCCGCTCGCATGGGCTAGGGAGCTGTTAACAGCAGCCCGCTTTCCCTTTGCCTTCTGTCACACCCAGCTCAGCACTCTTGGCGATGCATTTCTTGACCCCAGGGGGGGCTTACAGTCAAAGTGCTCTCTGTTTAAAGCAGACCACAATGAAGCTGTTCCCTACTGGGGCTTTCTTTCTGGGACAACGGCATCGCCTTTGGTTTCCCCAGAGCTGTTCATACAGGTGCCAGGGCTTGTCGTTTAGCGTACCTTGTTGTGTGGGAGGGACCGTGGCTCAGCAGCAGAGCATCTGCTTGTGTCATGCAGAAAAAGCCCCAAGTTCAATCCCCGGCATCTCCAGTTAAAAGGATCAGGTAGCAGGAGCTGAGAGAGACCTCTGCCCGAGACCCTGGAGAGCTGCTGCCCATCTGAGTCGATAGCACAGACCTTGATGGGTCTGATTCAGTAGAAGGCAGCTTCAAGTGTTCATCTGTGTGTGTCTTCTAGAGAGGGATGCAAGAACCATCTTTGTGAAGAACCTCGCTTACAGCGTAACCCAAGAGGACCTGCAGGAAGTGTTTGAGAACGCCATGGAAATCAGGCTGGTGTCCAAAGACGGGAGCAGCAAAGGGTACGTAGTTGGGGCCGCCATCATCAATGTAATTTCCTGGGAATTTATGACGTGTGTCCCATCTAGTGCTGCCACAGTGCACTAGAGCAGGGGTCCCCAACCTTGTTGAGCCTGTCGGATTCTGACAGTGTGGTGGCCACATTCACAAAATGGCTGCCACAGAGCCTGTTTGGTGTCGTGGTTAAGTGCGCGGACTCTAACCTGGGAGGACCGGGTTTGGTTCCCCACTCCTCCACATGCAACTGCTAGTGTGACCTTGGGTCCGTCACAAGTTCTCTCAGAGCTGTTCTTGCAAAAGAGCCGTTTCTGTCAGAGTTCTCTCAGCCCCACCTACCTCCCAGGGTGTCTGTTGTGGGGAGGGGAAAGGGAAAGGAGATTGTAAGCTGCTCTGAGACTCCTTCGGGTAGTGAAGAGCGGGGTATAAATCCGATCTCTCTTTTTCTTCCTCCACATGCAGCTGCTGGTGTGACCTTGGGTCCGTCACAAGTTCTCTCAGAGCTGTTCTCTCACAAACAGTTCTCAGAAGAGCTCTCTCAGCCTCAGGGAAAGGAGTTTGTGAGCCGCTCTGAGACACCTTTGGGTAGTGACAGTTCTTGTGCTATGGCCAGAGCGGTGTTTTTAAAAACCTGCACAGCCATTCAGAAGCCTTGCTGGGTAAAAGCCCTGTTTGCCCACACCCACTGGCTAAAAACACTCCGGTGGGTCCCGAGAAGGGCATCGGCAGCACCCACAGGGGCACCATGTCGGGGACCCCCATGCCGGTGAGACCGCTTTTGATAACCGCCACACCATTTACCGAAGGGGGAAACATTCGCTCAGAAGTCTCTCCTCCCGATTTTAGGATCGCCTACATTGAGTTTAAATCTGAAGCCGACGCCGAGAAAGCGATGGAGAAGCAAGGGATGGAGCTCGAGGGCCGTTCCATCGTCCTCGACTACACAGGAGAGAAGAGCCAGCTGGACGGCAGGAAAGGTACGAAGGGGGGCAGGTAGAGCCCCGGAGTGGACTCCCGGGCTGCCGAATGCACCACGGAGGAGCTGCTGTCTCTGGGAGCCCAGCCAGAAATGTTCCCTCTAAGCTGTGGAGTCTTGTGAGCAAAAATCCTACTTTGTGAGCTGCCGGCATTAAAGGTTGTGAGCGAGCGATTTGGCTGCTGCATAAATTAGTTTGCTCTGAAGCCATCCCTTCCTGAGCTAAGACACAGATGTGTGAGCCGGGGGCTAAAGAACTGTGAGCTAGCTCATACTAGCTCAGCTTTAGAGGGAACACTGCTCTGGACGTCTCTCCCTGACACGGCAGTGGTGTTGGGAGGCGAAGGGCCTCATCCTGCTTGCCCACCGCCACAAAAACCTATGTCTGTGTGTGTGTGACAAAGTAGACATTGAATGCTCCCTCTAAGCTGTGGAGTCTTGTGAGCAAAAATTCTACTGTTTCTCCCCCCCCCCCCCATTAATTTTATTTTAAAATAAATGGTTTACAAAGATAATCATAGATACATAAAATACAGAATATACATAAAGCAATCAATAAATAAGGTAATTTAAACCCCTGAAGTATTCAAGATTATAAAAATAGGTAATAATACATCAACATAGAGCTCGCACTAACTCAGCTTAGCGGGAACACTGGTCATGGCTGAGTTGGAGAAGTCCTGATCAGTGTGGAGAGACCTTGAAGGTCTATTCAGAACGTGGAATAAGCAGGTATCTCTTTGCAGGCGGAGAGTCCAGAACCCTCGTCGTGAACAACCTGTCCTACGATGCAACAGAGGATGCTCTCCAGGAGGTGTTTGATAAGGCGTTGGCCATCAGGATTCCACAGAACAACCAAGGAAGGCCTAAAGGGTAAGTAGGAAACCGACACCCGTGCCGTGGCTGGTTCAGGGAAGCAAAAGACTCAAGCAGGTAGAGCGACAGGACCCCATTCCCTTTTGAGGTTGTTCCCAGCCCTCGTCTTGCATTAGGAGAGCACGTTCTCCTCTTGACCCCGGTTCCTCTCTGCTCAGGTACGCTTTCATAGAGTTCACCACAGTCGAAGAAGCCAAAGAAGCCTTCACTTCCCACAACAACACAGAGATCGAAGGTCGAACAATCAGGCTGGAGTTTAGCACACCGGCGGGCCAAAACAGGAGCTTCAACGCCAGAGGGGGATTTGGTCGTAAGCAGACTTTGGTGTCCTTGCGGGGGAACGGTGGCCCACTTCTTAGCATATGGGGGATGCTGTTGGGTCTCTCTGCTTTCCATGCACCTCAGTGCTTGAGCATGCGTGTAAAATGCGCAGTTGTGGAGCCCCCTTGAAATCCAAAACACCCCCCCGGTAAAGCTACAAGTTGAACTGTTCTGTTTTTTTCCCCCCTCTGTTCAGAGCAAAGCAAAACACTCTTTGTCAAAGGCCTATCTGAGGACACCACAGAAGAAACACTGCGAGAGTCCTTTGACGGCTCCATTGGTGCAAGAATAGTCACAGACAGAGACACGGGCTCCTCCAAAGGGTATGCATAAGAGCCAAATGCTATTTTGTTGCGTAGAGAAAAATGTGGCTGGCTTGCATTGGGAAACCCATGTAGCGCAGAAGTGCTTTTGATTCGGAAAGCAGGCGTTCTTACCCTTCTCAATGAGCTCCTTCCTGCTGGAAATCCAGTGGCAGGCAATGGATTCGCCCGAGAAGAAGAGCCAAGACCGTGGTGGGTGACCGTGAGTGCCTCTGCCTGCTTCAGAGGAGCACGAAAGTCCCCCCCATGGCACAACTCTTGCGCGTCGCCTGCAAGTTCCGAGTATGCAGTGGTAACTGTGAGCCGCCTTTTCTCCAGGCAGCCATTCAGCACCCTCTTTGGTGTGGTGATTAAGAGTGGCGGACTGTAATGTGGAGAGCTGGGTTTGATTCCCCACTCCCTCCACAGGAGGCCGACGGCGTCTGTTCCCTCCGAATTCTCTCAGCCCCACCTACCTCACACACGGTGTCTGTTGTGGGGAGAGGAAGAGAAGGCAGTTTGAAGCCAAGGTTGCAAGGTTGGGTTTAGGGCTGTGAAAAAAAAAATTCGGCCCGATTTGGAATCAATTTCAGCCAGCAGAAAGACCTCCTGCGTGTCGGCAGTGCGTCTTTCTGCCAGCCGAATGCCAATTTCGGCCCTGTTATATCCTATAGGCCATTGGAGTCAATGGCGAAAACATAGGGTATATTTTGGGGGCTGGAGGAGAGGGGGTTTGAGGAAGAGGCTCCGAACTCGGAGGGTAGCTGCTGGGGCCTCTCCCGAAGATACCCACCAAATTTCAAGAACATTGGACCAGGGGGTCCAATTCTGTGGTCCCTCAAACAGGTTGCCCCTATCCGCTCCATTGTTCTCTATGGTGGGGAAAATTTGGCAGCAAGCCAATTCAGATCAGAGACACTGAATGGGCCATTTTTGGGGGTGCATTTGGTTCAGACGAACCGAATGCACATCCCTAGTTGGGTTGGCATGAGGAATCGCTGCATTTCATCATGGCCATGTTTCATAAGCAGAACCCCTGCTGGACCAGACCAGTGAGGGCCCATCTAGTCCAGCATCCTGCCCCAAGCAGTGGCCAGCCAGTTCCTCTGGAGGGCCAACGACAGGGCAGAGAGGCCGAGACTTTCAGGTTGCCTCCTGGCTCTAGGATTGGGAGGATTAGTGCCTCTGAATTCTCCCCCCCCCAAAAAAAAAAAAACAACCCCAAAACCCCTATGTTAGTTGGTGCTTACGTTTTAAAGCCTTAAAGAGCTGCAACAGCCTCTTCCATGCCTTGGTGTAGAATGGTAGCAAAGGGTCACTTCTGAATACGGGTGTACGCTCTGTGTGGGCGTGCACGTGCACAACAGACGGCCCACCTGCTGTGTCGTAACTCAGGCCGTCTCCTTTTCTCCTAGGTTCGGCTTTGTGGACTTCAGCTCCCCTGAAGACGCCAAGGCGGCAAAGGAAGCCATGGAGGACGGGGAAATCGATGGCAACAAAGTGACCCTCGACTTCGCCAAGCCTAAGGGCGACGGGCCCCGCGGTGGTGGCGGTGGCTTCGGCCGCGGAGGAAGAGGCGGGCGAGGCGGCAGAGGGGGCTTTGGCGGCCGGGGTGGGAGAGGCTTTGGAGGTGAGTGTGCTGACACAGACACAACTCGTTTTGCATTTTTAAGTCCTCTGAGCTTGGAATCTGCATCTTACGCTTTCTGAAATCTCTCTTAGGCCGAGGAGGCGGTTTCCGAGGAGGCAGAGGGGGCGGCGGCGACCACAGGCCACAAGGCAAAAAGATAAAATTCGACGACTGAGTCGGCTCGTTGCGTCTGAAAGGACTCTGGGGTTTTTAAATTCTGTCACCACGCAATGACGGAGCCTTTTGAGGACATTCCAAGATGCATTTGCAGTCCCTCGATTAAGAGCTACTGGGGGTGGGTGGGGGGAGAATATCCTTTCAACGAAGAAACAGCCATTCGACTGCCTGGCCACAAATATGAACTTTTTTTAAGAAAAGCAACAAGAGATGTTGGGAGTTGACCCGTGTCAGTGCATTGTCCCGAATTTATAACGTTTCCCCCCCCCATGTAAAAAAAGATAGCTTCCTTATACATTTCTGTAGTTCCTCCTCCTTGTTTATTCCTTGCTGTAAAAATGCAAAAAATGTTTTATCACTTGTCTTGGCACACTGTCTTGGACAGATTAAAGGGCCTAAATGGATTTGTGTGTGTCCTTGCGAATTTCCTTCCATGCCGGCTGGAGCCAGGAGGCTGTGGAGAGAAGAAAGTACACAACTGGAAGCGCTACTTTATTTTGTGTGTCCCTCGTCCCATCCCGCGCTACTAGAAATGTTTAGCAGGAGTTAACTTGTCTTGTATAATCTGGTTCCCGATTAGAGTCTTGGTTTGGTGCATCCTAACAGTGAAAATGCCTTACCGGGGGGCGACCCTTGGGGTATCTTCCTGGGGTCTCCCACACTTGGGCTCCTTGGAGCAGAAGGCGTGGAAATTGACGTTTGCAGAAGTTGTATTTGTCATGTTTATGCTGTGTGAGAGGCTGAGTAATTTTTAATAAACTTCTAGGTACTCTTAATTTTTTAAAAAGATACATAATTTTTAATGGTTCTTCGTCTTGAAATGTTGGCAAAGTCACCGGATGGATGGCTGGTTCCAGAGTGAAGAGGATTTGTGCATCTTGAATCGCCACACTGCGGCATAATGGTAGATCCAGTAGATCCCTGAAGACTTAACGAAATGGGCGGCTCATGCCCTGCCATGAATTCTTGTTAATCTTTTAAGGTGTGACTTGGACCCTTGCTCTTTTCTACTGCTACAGACAGACTGACTACACGGATAACAACATAACGGTGTTGAGAATTCAGCTTTCTTTTAGACAAAAACGCCTTGACCAAACCTGTGTGTAGAAGCAGGTGCTACTGGTATAAGGCTTCATTTTTTTTTCCAATTAACATTTTATTGGTAGGATTATAAAGTTTCGAGAAGTCATAACTGTCAATTACTTATAACATTAGAAATGTACATAAGGATCATAAGAAAAGTTAAACATTCAAACCAATACACCGATTACAAAAACAAACAACATCAACAACAAAAAACGTAAGCTTCAAAGAATAATACATACTACAATATACCTTTGAACAAAGTAACTTGTTTTAGCCTCAATTTGCAATTGGAGCCTGTACTGTTTGTTGTTTTAGATACAACCAAGTGTCTTCTGCCAACAAGACTATCTGTAGACATCCAATAATATATCTAACCATGTTAAACACAAAGTACAACCCACAAATCAGGTTTTACTAAAGCCTACTTGCTGTAATTTAGTTGAACCATTAATAAGTCCTCACAACCATTTAACATAGTTATCCCAGGATGCTGAGATGAATTTTTCGTCTGATAGGGCTTCTAGAATTGGAAACCATTTAGCTTCGAACCCAAAATGTACGACGTTCCTTTTATTTCTGTTAACTTTAGAGACATGTTTGATACAATGCTATATGCGGCTAGGCTATCTATTGCATCTTGCTGGAAAGATATCTCCCCACCTAACATTCAAACTTGGTACAAGAAGCTGTGGAATCAGTTCATTATGGAAAGCATCACAGATAAAGTTATAAGGCTTCATTACCTTGCATCATGTTCTGTCCCGGAGTTTGTGTTGACGCAAAGGGTCTCCGGCTTCTCATTGCACACAGGTTTGAACATGAGGGGCCTGTGGAGTCTCGTGAGCAAAAGTTTTACTTGGTGAGCAACCGGCATTAAAGTTGTGACTGAGCATTTTGGCTGCGGCATGAATTAGTTTGCTCCGGAGCCATCCCTTCCTGAGCCAAGACGACAATCTGTGAGCCAGAGGCTGAAAACTTGTGAGCTAGCTCACACTAGCTCAGCTTTTAGAGTGAACACTGGCTTTGATGAAAGCAAAGACCATTTTAGGCTGTAGTGATAGAACCTCAAGTGGTAAAAATTCTGAACTGCAGAGCATCCCTTGCCCCACACTGAGAGTAAAATGCTGAACTGCAGAGCATCCCTTGTATACCTTGTGGCTAATGGCCACTGATGGACTTATGCTCCATGTGCTTATTTAATTCCCTTTTGAAGCTGTCCATGCTTGTAGCCACCGCCACCTCCTGTGGCAGTGAATTCCACGTGTGAATCCCTCTGTGTGATCAGTGGGAATGTCATAGAAACAAAATTCTTGGCTTTAGTATGTTCAGCATTCAGTCTTAGGGATGGGATAGAGGATATTTGGGACCTCCAGCTGTTCCCATGTATGAGCCACTCCATGGAGAGAAGGGGGCTGTGGCTGAGCATCTGTTTGGCGTGCAGAAGGTCCCAGGTTCGAGCCCTGGCCATCGCCAGTTCAAAAATAGGACCAGGTGGTATCCCCCAGCCCCCTATGTATTGAAACTGACAATTCCATCCTTCGGAAGGGTCTTTTCTGTGGCCCGATTCCCTTCTGCGGTTATAGAGGGTCCTTACACAAAGGTGCCTATGGCTGAGCGTGCTTGTCCAAGTGGCACAGGCAAAGTAGAAATAGTCAAACATACATTGCTTGGGTGTAGTCTCTACAAAGAAATGCGAGCCAAATTTGTTCGACCTCTACTGGCGAAATTCATGGGTCTCCTGGACTCTTGAGTTAAGGAATTTACTTTTGACAGATTCTAACCCTCGCGAAGACTGTGCTGTGCGACGACAACAAAAATTCTCAAGTTACACTCGCTCCAGATTTTGGGCTGTAGCTGCTAGAATCCGCAAAGATTACCTAAAGGGGTGATGATGTAAATGTCCCCTAGATTTTGCATTCCCCAAGGATATTCTGTTCCCTTCTTTTAAACACTTCTTTCTTAAGTCTTTGTACATTTTACTATAATAGTCCCATACAAATGGCTGTCTTTTCTGTAAACTAGTTCGTTTCGATCTACGCTGGCCATGGGCCGTGATAACAATAAACAATGGGAAACTATGGACCAGGCGGGAGGTGTCATAAAAGACCTTTCTCTGCCTGCTGCCTGACTTTGCATAAATAAGGTGTCTCGTCGTATGTTCACCCCAAGAAAAGAAAAATCAGCTTGTGAGATTGCTAAAAAAAAATCAGGTCTCATTTTTGCCTGGTAGTTGTGAGGGTGCCGGGAAGCGGACTTAGGAAACCCCTGCGGCAAAAAAAAGCCGCTGGTGAGATTCAGCCATTTTGCAAGAGAGCGATTGTTGGACAGGTGCCCAGAGGCCGCTGAGAGGAAAATGGAAGATGCAGTGGTGCTGTAAATCCCTCTGTGCACCAGGGGGCAGCAAACACCACAAAGGAGCCTTGATGCACACACACACACACACACTTCACACACCCCTTGCCTTGCAAGAGCTATTTTGCATGGGTGGGGGACTGTAGGGCGTCTGGATTGAATGGAACTGCAAAGGCTTCTGGGGAAAGTAGTCTTGCAGCTTTAAATGAAGCCTCAAGTCAGTTTGGAAGGTGAGGGTGTCGTTTCCCAGCTGCAGGGACTGCCCTTCGGTTTCCAAAAAGCAGTGTTGTTGTAACGCTCGACTGGATGTCTGAACAAAAGGGATTGTTGACTCTCAAAAGCTTAGACCCCGAAACTTCTGTCCGTCTTTCACATTAGTGCAAGACCAGAAGGTCGGTAGCTCGGAAGTTCGAGACCCGAGTGCTGCGTGACGGAGTGAGCTCCTGAGAGCCAGTTTGGTGTCGTGGTTAAGTGCGGGGACTCTAATCTGGGAGAACCGGGTTTGATTCCCCACTCCTCCACATGGCAGCTGCTGGATGACCTTGGGCAAGCCGTAGTTCTGATAAGACCTGTCCTTGAAAAAGCCGTTTCTGTCAGAGCTCTCTCAGGCCCACCTACCTCACAGGGTGTCTGTTGTGGGGAGGGGAAGGGAAAGGAGATTGTAAGCCGCTCTGAGACACCTTTGGGTAGTGAAGGGCGGGGGATAAATCCAATTTCCTCCTCCTGTGGTGTAGTGGTACTGCGCGGACTTCAGTGGTTTGGTGTAGTGGTTGAACTGCGCAGACTAATCTGGGAGAGCCGGGTTTGATTCCCCACTCCTCCACCTGCACCTGGCTGGATGACCTTGGGCAAGCCGTAGTTCTGATAAGAGCTGTCCTTGAAAAAGAGCCGTTTCTGTCAAGAGCTCTCTCAGCCCCACCTACCTCACAGGGTGTCTGCTGTGGGGAGGGGAAGGGAAAGGAGTTTGTAAGCCGCTCTGAGATTCCTTTGGGTAGTGAAGAGCGGGCTATTAATCCAATCTCCTCTTCTTCTGCTCCCCAAGCAGGTTGGGGACTTTTGACACGGGCTCTACTGCAAGGTATCTGTCAGGTTTAACAGCCCCATGTCATCGCAGAGCATACATGCTTGCACGCTTTAACGTTCTGCCATCAGAGGTGCTTTTAGGGAGGTACCGCCAGATACCGTATGTAGACAGACTTTGTCCTTGCTCTCTAAAAGATACAGAATCCACGACACACACCATACTTCATTGCCACCTCTACAGGGACATCCGGTCTTGTTTTATTACTCCATTTCTAGAGGGTAAGAGCTGGCACTCTGATGACTCAATTGTTCACTTTCTTCTGTTTCATTCTAACTGCAAAATAATAGAGGCTGTTGCAAAAAATGTTATATTATGCAAGCAGAAGCTTGAATAGCCAAGGGTAAATGACTGATGCATCTTGGTATTTTCCCGTATTCCCATGATGTTTTGTGCTTTCATGCCAATAAAGGGGGGGGTGTGGTGTGTGTGTGTGAGCTCCCGTCTCTGGCCCCAGCTCCTGCCAACCTAGCAGTTTGAAAGGACAAAACTGCAAGTAGGTACTGCTTCGGTGGGAAGGTAACAGCGTTCCATGCGCCTTGGCATCTAGTCACATCGGCCACATGACCATGGAAAACGTCTTCGGACAGCGCTGGCTCTTCGGCTTGGAAACGGAGATGAGCACCGCATTCCTAGAGTCGGATTCAACTGGCTTTCAAGCAAGGGGAAACTTTACCTTTACCTAAGAACATAAGAGACGCCAATGTTAGATCAGGCCACATGACCATGGAAAACGTCTTCGGACAGCGCTGGCTCTTCGGCTTGGAAACGGAGATGAGCACCGCATTCCTAGAGTCGGATTCGACTGGCTTTCAAGCAAGGGGAAACTTTACCTTTACCTAAGAACATAAGAGACGCCAATGTTAGATCAGGCCAAAGGCCCAT